CTCTCAAGAGTGTTGGATGCCGGGTGCTTCGGAAAGACGGCTAAAGGCCCTTCAATGGCTACGACGAAGCGTATGAAAATGCGGAGGGCCCTCCTAAACCTTAAACCCTAAACCCCCTTACTTACTTTGCACCAGGGGCCCTTTTCGCGACTTTAGGCTTCAATTGCCAGCCCTGGGACCTTCCAACCTAGCATTTTTGGGCCTTCAGAATGAAAGTAGGGCTTTGGTGGTGTCTTCTGCTATACCTATCTATAAGTAGACCCGAAACCCTGAAACCCCAAACCCCTGAAGCCCTAAACCCCCTGCCTGAACCCAAAACCCCAAACCCCCTAAACCCTAAACCCCCCAAACCCTAAACCCCCTAAACCCTGAACACCCCAAACCCTAAACCCTTATGAAGTAACCCTCAAGCCGATGAAACCCAGCCCGGCTGCGTGAGCAAAATCTCGCGTTCCCGAACTGCAACTTTCAAGACGGCCTGGTTTAGGGTTTAGGGTTTAGGGGTTTAGGGTTTAGGGTTTAGGGCTTAGGGTTTAGGGTTTGGGGTTTAGGGTTTAGGGTTTAGGGGGTTTCGGGTTTATGGCCTGGCACACGCGCGTGAAGGGCGAAGCACTGGACCTATCGTCACTTGTCACTTTGAGGATTTGGGGTCGACGTGTTTAAGGGACGCCTTGGGGTTTGAGGTTTGAGTCTAGGACGGTTTAGGGTTTAGGGCTTAGGATTTGGCCAGCTAGGGGTTTGGGGTCCAAGTCTAAATATCTCTGCGGTTCAATCTTTGCCTTAGGGTGTTGAATGCGCCGCCGTCGATTTTCCAACGGCACCGGATCAGAATCCGGCACGTCAAATGTTAGCATGGCTGTAAAAGTGATGGCTGTAAAAGTGGAGCAAAAACACCCCGGACACACCCTAACCCGAAGCCCTTCATCCTAAACCCTAAACCCTAAACCCTTAACCTAAACCCTTAACCTATACCCGAAACCCGACACCCTAAATCCTAAACCCTAACCCTAAACCCTAAACCCTTAAGCCTTAAGCCTACTAACAAGGATCCAGACTTCGGCCACAGCCATGAAGCAGAGTGCTCTCTGAACAAGCAAGGGTGGGAAGCGCCCCGAATCAGCGCAAGAGATCAAAACTTGGAGTTTTGGTTTTGGGTGTAGGGGTCGTGAAATGTGGGTTTTAGGGTTTAGGGGTCTTGAAACAGACTGCAGAGGAGCTCAAGAAGCTGCAGATCATCCAACAGATCTTTGCAGACCCTGCATATAATCACCAAGACAAGTGCAAAACGAAGACTGAGATTCTGCTATCTATGCATGCCTCTGTTTGGTCGCGCAGCTCCTCTTCGAAGTCAGTGGACACCCTCTTCCTCGGCTGTTCTTTAACTTATGTCACCCTTGGTTGAAGGTCTAGGGTGTTTTAGGGTTTAGGATTTACGGTTCAGGGCTTATAGGGTTTAGGGTTTGGGGTTTAGATTTTGTAGGGTTAAGGGTTTGGAGTTTATAAGGTTTAGGATTTGGGGTTTAGGATTTGTAGAGTTTGGGACTGAAGATGTAGGCATCATCGTCAACGTCATCATCAATGTCATCTATGACCTCTACCCCCGACACCTTCAAGCCTGAATCCTACACTTCTGAAGCTGCGACATCCGTCATCACAAACCCACGAATCGAAAACGTGGCCGAATCGAAAACGTGGCCTGCACACCGTATTCTAGAACCCCGAAGGGAGAGTACCTTTATAGCATCTTTATTCAAGGGTAGTTCTCGAAATTAGGGTCCCTTTTGGGGGGGGGGTCCTTTTTTAAAAGGGTACCGTACTATATTAGGGACCTACGTAAAAAAAGGTTCTCTAAACTAGGGTCCCTGTTGGAGGGTCCTGTTTAAAAGGGTGCCTTACTATATTAGGGACCTCAGAAAAGGGACCCTAAGTTGGAGAACTACTCCCATACAGAACCCTAAACCCTAAACCCTAAACCCTAAAACCTAAACCCTAAACCCTGCCCTAAACCCCTAAACCCTAAACCCTAAACCCTAAACCCTAAAACCCTAAACCCTAAACCCTAAACCCCTAAACCGTCTCAATGCCGGCCGGCAGCCTGCTAAAGTCGACGCGCATGATCTGCCAAAAAACCCTAAGCCCTAAGGTTTAGGGTTTAGGGCTTAGGGTTTAGGGTTTAGGGTTTAGGGTTTAGGGTTTAGGGTTTAGGGTTTAGGGCTTAGGGTTTAGGGTTTAGGGTTTAGTGTTAAACCTTTCGACAGGGTGTAAGCGTCTTCTGTTGAAGTCCTTTTAAGCTTTTAGGTTTAGGCGTTCAGGGTCATGAACCCCTAACGGGTAATGCTCTTTGCTTGTTTTCGGGTGGATGGTTGAGATACAAATTAAGATCCCGGGTGTACGGTGCTAGTAAGGGATTGCCGGTGCTATCTGCCCCTGTAATCATATGACTCTCTGCAATCTTCGGAAATACAAGAACATCGACAGTACACTGTCCTATTCACCTATCCATTTACCAATCTAGAAAAATCCTGAACCCCAGATCACATGCCAGGTGCGGCCAAGTATCATGCGGCGCGCTGCTGCAGGGCCTGCCTTCAGAGTGAACTTTTGGCCGATGGTTCTGTTCGATCCGGCGTCACTGTATAATGTAGGCGCCTTAATAACTAGAATAGGATCTTGGCAGCCCCTTATTATAGCTCCAAGACCCTATTCTAATTACTAAGGCCCCTATGCTCTAAACCCTTATAGTAGCCCTTATAGAATCCTTTAAGGACCCCTTTAAAGGAACCCCCGAGCCCTATTCTAATTATTCAGGCCGCTGCATTGTCCAAGGTCCAGGGTTCCGGGAAGGGGGGGAGGAAACCCTCCTAAACCCCTAAACCCTAAACCCCTAGCACTGAATCGCTGGCAAAGGGGCAAACTTAAGAAAGGAAGGTCCCCTAAATAGAATAGAGTCTGAGGGTACACTATACTGTAAGCATAATAAGGGCACCCCAAAATAGTACTGGTAATTATTTAGGCCCCTTAACCCTAAACACTAAGCCTTAAACCCTAAACCCCTGAACCCTAAACCCACCCCAAACCCTGAACCCTAAACGCTAAAACTAAACCCTACGAGTTCTTGGGAGCTTGGAGCCAGTTTGCCTAATCGTTTTGTCAACCCCAAGGTTCTGCGTCGCGGAGCCAGGAATCGGCGGAAAGTAATATAGGGGCCTTAATAATTAGAATAGGGTTTTGGGGCCAGTTTTGGGGCCCCTTATACTATAATTCTATTAAGGAACGTCCAAAATAACATAGGTAGTTATGAAGGCCCCTATATCAAATGATCTGGATGGGGAAACCCTGCCTGCACGCACGTATGGGATATACAGCTAGGCCCCAGGTGTATACGGAATCCCTTCCCCCACTTAACCCCTAAATCCCAAACCCTAAAATTCTGCGCCCTGACCGAAACCCTGATGTTGAAATCCTAACCCCCAAACCCCAACCAACCCCAAGACCTAAATTTCACTGTACTTGTACTGTGGCATACCCCGAAACCCTACCCTATGTACTGAGACCTCAAAGCAAACCATACTAGTCACCCTTGCAGGAACCCTTCAGGGCAACCTATTCTAAGGGCGAAGGCACCCTATACCTTGGAGGGGCTAAATACCCTAGCCCAAAAAGGTTTAGGGTTTAGGGTTTAGGGAGGTTGACATTTTCAATTATGGTAGAGTTATATATGGGGTACGCCCGAAAAAGTTAAAGGCTACCTACTCAGCTACTGAGGTGGTATTGTGAGACTGTAAAACCTCACAGCGACCCGATACAAACCCTGATTCACTCCAACCTTTAGAGACTCTTTGGACTGCTGGGCAAAACAAACTCTGCAAAAATTCCTAAACCCTGAACCTTTCGGACCCTGAACCCTGAACTCTCAACCCTAAACCCTAAACCCTCAACCCTAAACCCTAAACCCTAAACCCTAAACCCTAAACCCAAAACCCTGAACCCTAAACCCAGACTCAATAGGTCCGAAAGCCGTATACACCCTATACAACCCCAAGCCGACCAAAGGCCTAGGGTTTAGGGTTTAGGGTTTAGGGTTTAGGGTTTAGGGTTTAGGGTTTAGGGTTTAGGGTTTAGGGAACTCTAAACCCTGAATTAGAGGAAACTACACTATACTGAACTTAGACCCCTAGCAAAAATTATAATTGTAGCTACTTCTTAGGGTTTATAGTAGCCAAAGATTAAAAATTATTTCTAAGTACCCCTAAGTACAGGTGGGGAGTTTAGGGTATATAGGGCTTCTATAAGCCTTCCATAAGGTATATAGACCTTCTATAATGCTCCTATAACGGTAACTACCCACCTGAAAATGTCCTCGACTAAACTTAAACCCCTGAACCCCTCGACCCTAAACCTTTGGGACACTAAACCCTGAACCCTAATGGGACCGGGACCTTAGGGGTTTGCGGTTGGGCCTCCTCTGCGCCAGTGAGCTGGTCGAGCACCTCCCGGCACTCGAATCCGCGCTTCTTTTAGGGTTTAGGGCTGTAGTTGCTTTATGGCAGGGGTATAAGTGGGTTCAAAGGGATTTCTGATTGCGCTTGCAGGGGCTTTGGGAGTTGATGGGTTCATGGGGGTCTATAAGGATCTTACAGAGGTCGGTTCCAAACGGGCTAAACCCTAAACCCTAAACCCAATAGTTGCGCACTGAAGGGGTGCTCTTGTTGGCACGTCGGTGCTTGCAGGCCCTTCTTGGAGCTTCGGGGCTGCTTCGCCGGAAAGGCCTTCCGGACGCTTTTAGGCGCTTCGTGGGAGTTCTTGGTGTTGGTGTTGTTTAAATGCGCTTGGGGCCTTCATAATTAGAATAGGGTTTTGGGGTTCAATATACCATAATTAAAATAAGCAACCCCCCAAAATAGTACGAATTAGTAGTTCTTTCGGCCCCAACAATAGACGCGTTTGGGGCTGGTGCGAAAATGCAAGGACCCATCGAGCACTTGCAGACACAGCCGCGCCTGCTCAAAAGAACTTGCGGCATTCGATGCATAGCTGCCTTGTGGCACACCAGGAACTTTGAGGCAGGCTCTCTAAACCCCAAAAGCTCTAAACCCTAAACCCTCAACCCTAAACCCTGAACCCTAAACCCTAAACCCCAAAAGCTCTAAACCTGAAAGCCTGGGTCTGCGATTCTTGCACAGTGGAAGGGTCTTCAGAGTGGAGGCCTGTCGAAAAACTCCCAACTTTCAAAGGCTTCCATGTGGGTGGTTGTTAAAATTAGGGTTTAGGGTTTAGGGTTTAGGGTTTAGGGTCCCTCTCTGGGTCCTTATAATCATACGGCACCTAATATTTAGGATACCCAGAAACGGACCATAATTTTGACAACCACCCATGTCAGTTCCGGATAGAGCCCTGAAGTCAACAGGTTCTGGGGAAGGGGGAGGGGGTATACTATACCCTAAACCCTAAACCCTAAACCCTAAACCCTAAACCCTAAACCCTAAACCCTAAACCCTAAACCCTAAACCCTAAACCGTGTAAGTGTAGTAAGGGCACCCCAAAAGAGTGCTGGTAATCATTGAGGCCCCTAAACCCTAAACGCTAAGCCTTAAACCCTAAACCCTAAACCCTAAACCCCTATAGTATAGGGTTTAGGGTTTAGGGTTTAGGGTTTAGGGTTTAGGGTTTAGGATTTAGGGTTTAGGGTTTAGGGGTAGTACTATGGTAGACTGCTCAAGCAGAACTACCCCGAAGCCAATCCGGCCACTTGG